CCCCCCGAATCCCATAATTAAGGCCAGCTTCCACTTAGGCTGAACATGCCTATGCCAGAAATTAGTCCCGCCTGGAGGGTGCCGAGAACTCACTGGAGTGGTAGTATGAGTCCGTGGCGCTGTGCTGTGGCTGAGTGACCACTGCCTGGTAGTACGGCTTGGCCTCGTAGCTGCTGGCTGCTGGGGACCGGCCGTAACTGTAGCCATCCTGCTGTGGGAAAAGGCAGTGATGAGTAACGAGAGAAGCACAAGGGGCCAAACTGGCGCAAGGGCTTCCATGCGCAGGGGCTCAACTGGGATCTTTCAAGCCCGTCTAGGTTTCGTTTGGTCCAGCAAATAATGATTTCTTATCTTAATATAACAACAATGGCTTCCAATTTTAAAATGACAAAAAAATGAGAGTGTTCGGCTTTTAAAAAGGAAAGCTGCTTATAACTACGCCACCCAGAAGCTTCTGAGAAGGCAGTTTTTCATGTTTTATTGCCCTAACCTACTGGGGGAGAGCACCACAGGCAGCCACAGATGCTGCTGGGGCCTCTTAGGGCTCAAAGGTCCCCACATGAACCCACCCATGTATGGGAAGCGCCGGGTTGTTACCTACCTGATAGCTTTGAGTCATGGCTGGCTGGGGGGTGAGCTCTGGTGGTCGGGTCCCGTAACTGTAGTCCTGCACGGAAGGGGGCTGGTAACCCCCGTAAGCCATGGGTGCTGCTGGCCGGGCAGCCGGCATGGCCAGAGGGTAGGCGGGCGCTACAGCGTGCTCCACCCCCGGCGTCGGCTGGACAGCATAAGCAGCTGCCACAGGAGGGTGAGAGTAGGCAGGAGCCGGCTGGGTGCTGAAAAGGAAGGACATGGGGATCGATCGAGAGACCAACAGAGTGACAGACAGACAGATAGATGGGTGGATAGGTAGATACATGGACAGATAGGTAGATGGCAGGCAGGCAGGCAGGTAGGTAGATAAGAAGGAAAGTAGATAGACAGGCAGATAAGCAGCTAGACAAGAAAGCGAGGCTGACAAATAGGAAGGATATGCAAATGTATATAGATATAAACACAGATATAAATGTTGATAGGGGTTCTGGAGCAGTGGAGCCTGCAAGACTCCCCTCTACAAGATGGCAAAGAACTACATAAGACTCCAGTCAGTGGAGGGGCTGCGGTGGACTATGGGGCATGGAGTCCGATGGCCCTTCCAAGTACCACTAAATTCAATTTAGCTAAGAATAGGGTTTTTTCCCCCCTCTCTCTCCCTCCCTCCCTCCCCCTTTTTTTCTAAACGGGACCCCGACAGAGGCGCGCCTGAGCTGGTGGGGGAAGATCCTCCCCCACAACCCGCCTACCTGGCAGGGCTGTTGTGAAGGGGAGGGATAAGGAGAGGCGCCAAGCCTTCAATGTGAGGCAGGGGTGTTCTCCCCTCCTTTTTTCCACTTCACACCCCCTCCAGCCTCCTTCCCCTCAAAACGAAGCCACGTGACACCCCCTCCACCCCATAATAACCCCCACAAACGTCCCTCCCTCCCATAATATTCCAACCCCCCCACCCTAGATACCTGTATTGGGGTCCCGCGACGGCCCCGCCCGCGAACCCGTAATAGCCGCCCGCCGCCATCTTGGAATTCCCCCCCTCACCCTCTCCTCAGGCGGGACGGAGAGGCGGTGCGGCGGCGGCGGCGAGTGGGTGGGGCCAATTCAGGAAGGAGGAGGAGGAGGAGGAGAAGGGGCGCGCGGGGCACGCCGGGAGGCTTGGACGCGCATGGCACGTCACCGCGCCGGCCGGCCAGCCCGTTAGCAACAGGCCCCGCCTACCAGGGGAAACCTTCGCTGTTCCCTCCCCTCCCCTCTTTCCATAGATTTACACTAATAGAACCCACCGCGAGGCGCAGACTCTCGGGTATCTATTTGGATCTCCGTGAGGGTTCGTTCTCTCACCGCCGCGGCGGGGCGAGAACCCCCCACTGGCCCCCTTCCCACGCTTTCCAGCTCGGTGGCCGGGGAGGAGGGGTTGGATCGTGGGTCTCTCCTTCTTTTCCTCTTCCCTCCCCCCCCATCGAGGAGTTCTGCGAGGCCCGGAGGCTTTGCTCTTCTTCTTCGTCCATGAAGCCCATGCTTCCCTCTTAGGGTTTCTGGGCCGGGCGCCAACAGGCTCTTTCGCCCCCCCTCCAAACCAACCCCCCGCAACGCCTCGCTCNNCCCCGTTCCAAAGATTTTATTATTCTGTATTTCTTCTTCTATTTTTTTTGTAAAGGAGGGTCTCGTTTTTGAAAAAAACGTAGACTTAAACAAAACAAAAAGGCCAATTAGTAGGTATTAGGATGTTGCAAATCCCCTTCACTGGAAGTAAAGACTGCAGTCACTCTAATTCATATTTCTAGGGTGTCGCACGCCTGCCTCCTTATAGCCGTTAGGCAGGAAGCCCCTCCCACGGCCCCCCACGCCTGTATCACGTGACCCCCTTTCTGGGGGAGGTAAAGCGAGACCGATTTTTTCCTTAACCCCCCATTAGGGTCACGTGGCCTGCTCTCCTTCAAGGACTCAAGCACCGCCTCTAGAAGATCAGGCTCCTCCTTCTCCTTATTTAAATCAGGGGGCGTGGCTTAAAAACGCCTCGGCCGCAGCGAGGGAAGGAAGAAACGGGACACATGGGTGGAAAAGGCCGGGGTAGTTAAGGGGCGCCGAATGACATCACGGCAATGACGTCATTCTGCCATTTCCCCCCCCTTTCTTTTGTTTTTAGAAACGCTTTTTATCCACAGGACCAAAGAGGCGCCACTTCCACTTAATTCCACAATTCGGCAATTATAATTTCGTGTTTTTAAAGTCAATTAAAAATGCCATTTACCCCTTTTAATACATCGCAGGAAAACCACACGTAGACGTGAATCCCCAGCAAGTCCCTTGCCTAAAAGAATGGATAAATATTGTCCTAACCCTAGGATTTATCCTGGCTTCCTTTGCAGGTTATTAAGGCCTTTAAAGAAAAGGAAATGATCGGTAAATTGTTAGGGAATGGGTGGAACATGTTAATTTGGGACTTTTCTGTTTCTCTCCCGTCCAAACGCAACGAGGACCCTGGTGAAGCATTTTTGTGGGGCTCGAAAACTTGCCCTTTTTTGGGGGGTGTTACATAATTAACCACAGATTATTTCTCAGTTTTCTGCAAAATTGACACCACTCCCTTTTTAAAAAAAACAACTTGCTAAAAAAAATCGATGCGATCCTTGTTGTGTCCTTGTTGTGTCGTTATCACGTACCCCAGAAACAAGTGATCTCCAAACGGCCGGTCCTCAACAGCCCTGGTCTTGTAAACTACAGTATAGCCTGCGGTTTCCTTTTAGGAGTCAGTCCATCTCCTATTCGGTTCTCCTCTTTCCCTGCTGCTTTCTGCCTTCTCTAATATTATGATCTCTTCCAGGGAATCCTGCCTTCTCAGGATGCGCCCAAATCAACCTGTTTCCAGCCTTGAGTTCAGGCTTCATTTTCTCAGATACCTACTCGTTCATCTTTCTGGCAGCCCAAGGTTATCAGCACAGCAGTCTTCCAGCATCCCATTTAAAACCAATTTCCCCCTCCCAGTCAGCTCTTTTAACCGTCCACACTCATCCATGGCGAGCGGAAATACAAAAGCATGGATGGTCTTGGCTTTGGTCTTGGGTGAGGCATCCTTACATGTGAAGAACTTTTGTAGCTCTTTCCTTGCTGCCCTGCTGAGTCTCTTCTTGTCTTATTCAGATTTTTGGGCAGCAGGTTCCCCTGCATTCTGATTGATGATTTAAAAAAAAAACCCTCTAACAAGGTGAGTTTCTTCACTGCCAATCTTAAAGCGGCCTAGTGCTTCTTGTAATTGTGATCTGGGTCTTCTTCATGTTCAACTGTAGCCCTGCTTTGACATTTCTTCCACGTTGCCTAAAAGTTGTTTCAAAGGGCTGCTTCGTTGCCCACCCTGGCAGGAAATCCGAAATGAAAGGCCACTCAATGCACCCTCTGCCTCTGATCTTCCCTTTCGTTGTAATTGATAAGATTATTTTTTCTAATTATTTCAGCCACTGGTTGTTCTTGGGAACGGGTGGGAAAGGCAACCAGCCCTCAGGGCCCCTTAAGAGTGTGGGTGTGGGTTTAGGAGGGGTGTGTGTCACCAAGATTACAAAAGGTAACGTGTGAATGGGTGGAACCCGCGACCTTTTCCCTTAAAGCCACCGATGCCAAGGGGCCTGGTTCGGAACTCGGGCTGATCCTCGGGAGTTTCGTGTGAACCCGTGACGGGGTGAAGGCTGAAGGACAGTGGTCTCTCTCTCAGGCGGGTCTTGAAGGGATTGTCACGTGTGAACGCGCGAAGCCTAAGAGAACGCTTCGGAACGGTGTGGGGGAAGCACCGTCGCTTCCCTGAGGTAAATTCACGAAGCATCCGCGGTGCCCTTCCTCCACGAAGTCACACCAGGGATGTCACGTGTGAATCCGTGAAGCGGGCGACGGCGGGAGGACGGACGCTTCCGAGGTAAAATTTAGAAAGGGAAAGCCACTTTGCCGTGCGGGAAGAGGAAAGGGGCATCGGGTTCTCTGAGGTAAATCTGGGCGAGGCCGCCTAAGGTATGAAGAAGGTAAACGCGGAGGCCCCGGAGGAGCGTTTTTCTGAGGTATAATCGGGCGACGGAGGTAACGTGTGAGGAAGGCACGACGCGGGGACAGAGGAAGGGGAATTCGCTTATTTTCCCTCTTCCTCCCCCCCCCCGTCGCTTGAGGGAAATTGGGCCGAGACACGGCACGTGTGAAGGCGACAGAGCGAGAGTTCGGGCCTGCGGAACGCCCGCGCCTTTGCTCCCTGAGGTAAAGTTAGCCACACCCCTCAAGGCGCGCAGAACCCGGGGAGGAGGACGAGAGGGAGGCCGAGGCCCGCGCCGCCAACGGCCGCGCAGGCGCGTGAGGGCGCCTCGCCTCGCCGTCCCCCTTGCTCGGGAAGTCCGAGCGCCGTCTCCTGAGCGGCGCGGCCCGCGGTACCTTGACAATATATAATGCAAATTTCCACTGTACAGCAGCCATATGTCATTGCAGTTTAGGGTCTGTTTCATTAACTAGTTATTATGCCAACTAATGTAAAGGCATTAGTGAGAGTATCGTCTGTTTCTAATAATAACAAGGAAAAATAGGACACGAGAGGCCATTAATCTCCCTTCAAATAACTTGTTAAGTCAATCTCTAATAGTGTAGAAAGGATGAGCCACTAAACCATTACTAAGGGTAGGCTGAGGTATGTATATTGAAGCACTTTATCTGATGGAAGCATTTCATTTAATTAGAAGGTAAAGACTAGACATCTGCACTGTCATTGGACAAATGTGCACAAACGGACTGAATCGGGGATATTTGTATGAATCTGGATGGACTACAAGATGGAGCAACAAGTCACTGTTTATCCCAGAGGTGATTCAACACCACACTTTTGTGGGGGCGGGGACTGGGCGGTGGTGGTGGGGCGCGTGGCGTCATCAGCGGGCGCCGTCAGGGTTCTGCGACGAAGACGAGGGGGGGAGGGACAGAGCCCTTCTCGAGTTTAAGGATCGGAACTGGAGGTTCGCCTCTTTCCCTCTTCTCTGCAGATTAAATTTATCTCTTTTTATATTGATCAGATTTGTAAATGTAGATCTGGTCCTCTTGTAGCAAATATCAGTAGGTTAAAAACAAAAGCGCATAAATATATTTGTCATAGCACACACACACACAAATAGCATGAAAAAGGAGGAGAAAATGGCCTGAAAAATGGAAGAGATAACTATAAATATATATTGTGCTACGTTTGTTTCACATACGTTTAAGGCAATGGTTTCCAGCTTTGGGTGCCTCTTGGACTACGGTTTCCAGAACTCCTGGCCAGCACAGCTGTTGTCAAAGGCTGCTGTGAGTTGTAGTCCAAGAATATCTGAGGACCCAAGAAGGTAGAATGGTAGTTCCCAATTTTGGGTGTTCTTGGACTACATTTCCCAGAAAGCCCAGGCAACAGTGAAGGCTGCTGGGAGTTGCAGTCCAAGAATAGGTGGGCAACTCAAGGTTTGGAATGGTGGGTTTAATATATTGAAGATGAAGTTGGAAACCTGGAGAGAGAAAAAAACAAGACAAAAAATATTGGAAATATAGCGAGAATGCTTAGCTACAACAAGCATAGCCAGTCCTCTGGAAAAATATAGATGTTCTCCAAGATTTTAATTTTTTTGCTTATGTGTATCTCCTTCCATCCATTTCTGTTTCTATATACGTGGAGGTGGACCAGTACAGTTTGCTCCCATCCCATACATAATTTGTATGTTTCTTGTTCCATATTATTTCCTCCACTTGGTTCTTTTTAGGAGGCTTCTAAGGCGATTTGCAAATAATCAGAAAGGAGAACAAGGAAGAAGCCTTTTCAAGTGCTTATCAGCAATCTCTGTAAGGCAGGTCACATGTCTTCCGCCCACATTTTGTGGGGAGGGAAAGAGAAAATATTGTTCAGCCCCATTAGTTTGTGGCAGATTGGCTATGAAGTGCAGTTTTCCTCTCAAATTGTTCTCTAACTTGTAAGATTTTTTAAAAACACCGCTTCAGAGTTAAGAGTAATGCAATGCTCAGTTCTGAAGTCCCTTGTGTTTGTTTTTCCACCTTGTTCCTTTTTCCCCCCAGAGAAAGCAAAAGAAGGGAAAATACTTACAGTGTTGACATCCTTTTCTCTGAGAGATAACCCTCTGATTTTTTTTTTTTTTTAAGACACCAGCCTAACGTCTGGTATCCTTGGCACCCTGGGCTCTTATTTCCTTTGTGCCTCTAGGCAACGTATGTGGCTTTTCTTCCCTCGCTAAGCTTATAGAAAACTTGTACATAAAGGGGACTTGACTTCCGAACGTGCTGTTTTCTTTCTTTTTTAAAATGTGGCCTGATTGACTGAGTTGTAGAGAAGATTGCTCAGTTTTGTGACTCCAACTTGCCCCCTGAGGTGTTGCTTTGGATAAATACCTTATTGCCTTCCCAGCTCATGTCTGGGAGATCTTAGATCTTCTTTGGGATTGTTTGTACCACTGTTTCATCTGCTAAGATCTTTAACGTAAACCTCTGTTCCCCTTTGACCACCCCCAAAGGCGTCATCTTCCCCAAGTCTTGATAAATACAGTAGCTTCTTACTTTTATGTGAAGGTAAATGTTCATTCCTTCTCCGTATCAGGCCACAAAAGGTCATCAAAAGTAAATGTAAGTCCGAGTTTTGTCACGTGTAGGACTGCACCTTCCAAAACACACCTCTTTTTAGAAGCTAAGCTGGATTGGGCAAAATCTCAAGTCCTGTACAGTACTCAGAATTTTTTTTCTATTTTTCTCCTGGATACCTGGAAATGTCACAGACTGCTCCAGAGCACCTCTTTTTTGGGCCACTGTGGACCCAAATACCCCTCCTGATGTCTATCGATAGCTCTTTGTTCCAGTGGGAGTTTCATCTGGGTATTAGCCCTTCATATCAGTACTTTCTGTTGCAGTTAACGTAGGGAAAAAGGGCTTGGATTTCCATGGGTGGTGACATCTTTTGGAGTTCTTTGTCCACAGCAGCGGTTCCGACAGTGACCCTCTGAGGCGCCAGATGCCACCTGAACATGCTAGGGTTTGAAGCTGAAAGCTTCTGTGGAGAGAAAACCCGTGTTACAGACTTTTTTGTAAATTAGGATAAAATTCTAGTTCTTCCAATTCTGAATAAAGAGATGTTTTCATGGAAATAACTCTGATGGTCTACTTAACACATTTCTGTCTAAACAGCTGTCACTCTCTCAGAAAGAAATGTTCCCCATCCTTCCTGGAGATCCCTGGGGTTGAACTTTGGATTTTTTTGAATCCAGGTGCTTAGCTACTGAGCTATAAACCCTCCATCTGGTCATTTTTTTGCCCTTTGCAAACCCCCTCTCAATTAGTTTGCATAAAGATTTGCATGTCCATCTCTCTCTTGAGTACACATATATTTGCTCACAAAGCAGGCAGGCTGTAGACCAGAACGTGCTAAAGTCCCCTGATTATGTCCGATTCTGATGAAGGTTTACGTTCCCCCAAGAACCTTTCCACATCGCAGCTGGCATGTTTGCTTCAGAATACGTGGCCCTCTGAGTTGAGTTCCAACTCGGCCCGCGTAAGGTTGCCACTAATAAATCATTAGTGGTTAGTATTAATCATTCATTACTTATTTATTAAATGCACATACTGCAGCGGTACTGTGCCAGTTAAAAAGCAGCCTTAAACTTTGTTAACAAGAGCACCATGAACGTATTCTTTGATCAAGAAGGATTATGCTCACATTTTTGGGGGTTTTTTTTAGCTGTATAAAACACACCAGTTTCCAGCAAGAGCCTTTCTGACGATAGGAGCCGAAAGGAGAGGCAGGAGTAGATCGTTCCCCTTGGAATTCTTCCTGAAATTGGTTGGCATTTTAGCCGCGGATTGAGAGTTGCGGAACAGTAGAATTAAACATTTCTAATGGGTCGCCATTTACTTCCTGAAAGGCCTCTTCTGTTTTAATTTATGCCTGGGTTTTGCCCGTGGTCGGCTCCAGTGAATTTCACTTCCTCTTTCTCACCATTGAGCATGAAGTGAGCTTTTGTTTGCAGGAAGAGCTCTGTCAACCAGTGCTGTTTCTGTAGTGTGTACGTGCGTTGAATGGAGAAGGAAAGCTGTCTTGATGACTCCAGAGGTGGTGGCCGGGGGCCGAGGGAATAATCCAGGACTTTGTTGTGCTGGTTTAAGGCTCATTTTATGTAGCCTTATCAGCTACTTGGGCCAGATTTAAATTATAGTGGCTTTTCAACTCCTCTGCCTCTCTCTCCAGTGGGTGCCTTTAGACAAGCTAGCCCTGGAGGGACGTGGTTTTTTCACCCCCAAGGTGTACTTGAAGTCTTTGGGGGTTGTCCCAGCGGTCTCGGAGGGACAGGATAGTGTTGTTTCAGGTTTAGCAGGAGCCCTTTGGTTTAAAAAACAACTGTGGTCCTGGATTCTTCCTGATGAGAGGCCCCTTGTAGGGCTGCTGGGCATCCATGTCTGGAGAAACTTTGGGGTGAATTTGGGTGCAAAGCATGGGTTCTAAAGCTCGGACCCTTCCCTCAAGTCTGTAGTGGAAGTGGGGGCCCCTCAGGCTCTCCTCTGCCTCAGCTCTCAGACTGGCTGATAGTTGTGGATTCTGGGACTTGTTATCCCAAGCCCCTCAGGGCCTCCTGGCCTTGGCAGAATGTGGTGCACTTTGCTGCCTCACAGATGGCCAGTCGACTGAGCCTTTCTGCCTCATTGGGAAGAATCCATTTTGGAAAATGGGCTTGGGGGAGGGCTGTTCAGCAGATCCCTTTCCCCCGCCTGTTGCCACGAGCTTTCTCTCTCTGTATTATGCTTGCCTACACTTCCGGGTTGCTGCTTGGGAAATTTCCGCCGTATCGTCCTGCAGAGCCCTAAACGCAGCCCTTTGCCTTCTCTCTCCTTTTTCGCAGGTTTCTCCCCTGCTTAAAATGTCTAATGGTTATGAAGACCACATGGCAGAGGACTGCAGGGACGACATGGGCCGGACAAATCTCATTGTCAACTACCTTCCCCAGAACATGACCCAGGATGAGTTGAGGAGCTTGTTCAGCAGCATCGGAGAGGTTGAGTCGGCCAAGCTCATCCGAGACAAATTCGCTGGTAAGGGGCCGGGTCAAACAGCATGAGGACCCTTTAGATCGGTTCAGAACCTGCGGGCCCTCCCTCCATGTTCTAAGGGAGGGTGAGGCTATCCAGCCTTGCCCAGCTGGCTGGGGGAATAATGGGACTTTTAGTTTAGCAGCCTCCCCCAGGTGGTGGTGGTGGTAGTGATCACCTTAAAGCGGAAGCAAAGCGTGCCGCTTATATACCACCCCAGAGCACTTAAAGCATTCACTAGGCGGTTTTCAGTTTAATTATGCAAGTGACACAGGGCCCTCCCAGGAAGCTGGAGACTTAATTTACTGACCTCGGAAGGATGTAAGGTGTAGGTCGTGAGCAGAGTTTTGCCTGCAGTTTAACCACTGCACCACAGTGGCTAAAAACACCCATTTTTTCCTTCTCCAGGGCACAGCTTGGGTTACGGTTTTGTGAACTACGTGACAGCTAAAGATGCCGAGAGAGCAATAAACACACTGAACGGCCTGAGACTTCAGTCGAAAACCATCAAGGTAATTGAGGCCGGGCCGGTTACGAATTCCCCCCCTTTCTTGCCAGAACAGGCTTTGCAGGGAAAAATAGTCTGGGGGCTTGGGGACGACAAGTGGGTCTTGAGTGGAAAGCTTCGTCCGCATGAATGTCCGAGAACGCCAAGGGAAAATCCCGGGTCCCTCTTTGAAACAGAGAAGCTAGAAGCCTGCGAGAGAAGGTAACAGCCAATATGGTGGACTTGGGCGTCGAAATCAATCATTTATTTGTATTTTCCTCCCGTTTCCCCTCTCCTCACCATTCAAGGTGTCGTATGCCCGCCCCAGCTCCGAGGTGATCAAGGATGCCAACTTGTACATCAGCGGGTTGCCACGGACAATGACGCAGAAAGACGTGGAGGACATGTTTTCCCGGTTTGGCCGCATCATCAACTCCCGCGTCCTGGTCGACCAGACTACAGGTGGGCAAAGGCGGTTGTTCCAGGAGGTGCAGAGAGAGGAGGGGTGGGGTGGCTTTGGCAAGTGTAGGACCCCATTTTTAGAATCCTAGAATCTTGGGGTTGGAAAGGGGGGAGCTCTAATGCCATCGGGTCCAACCTGCTCTGCAAGGCAGGAATCCAAATCCAAGCAGACCTGACAGAGGGTGGCCCAGTTTTCTCTTGAATGCCTCCGGCGTTGGAGTGCTCACCACCTCCTGCGCAGGGGTGGGGTGGCTTTGGCAAGTGTAGGACCCCATTTTTAGAATCCTAGAATCTTGGGGTTGGAAAGGGGGGAGCTCTAATGCCATCGGGTCCAACCTGCTCTGCAAGGCAGGAATCCAAATCCAAGCAGACCTGACAGAGGGTGGCCCAGTTTTCTCTTGAATGCCTCCAGCGTTGGAGTGCTCACCACCTCCTGCGGTCGTTAGTTCCATTGTTGTGCTTTTCTAATAGTTAGGAAGCTTTTCCTGATGTTCCGATTAAATCTGGCCTCTTGTCGCTTAAGCCCATTCTGACACTCCCTGCACTCTGGGCTGAGAGCAGATTGTATGACAGCCGTTCAAGGATTTGAAAAGTGCTCTCCTCTCTCCCCTCCGTCTTCTTTTCTCAAATGTAAACGTGCTCAGTTCTTTCCTCCGAGGGCTCGGTTTCCCATCCCCGGATCATCCTGGTTGGAACATCTTTTCAGGAATTTGTGCCACACAAGCCAAAAGAAACAGACTCTTCCATTCTCTTGTCGTTTAGTGAGCAGGGGGAGGATGAGGGGCAGTGCCCCCTCCCCTCTCCTCCTGGGCCCCAAGAAAAAACAGTTTGGAGTTCTCACCACTCCGCTTGTGAGGTTTGGCCAAACCCTAGCCCCCAGGGATTGATATGCAAACCCGGCCCCTTCTGAAACATCCCCGTTTTACACACTGGATCGCTTGGACCCCATGCCAGTCGGCCCTTCTGACCCTCTCTGTTTTTGGAAGTCTCCCCGGACTCTGAAACCACGTAAGCCTTCTGGAAGGCCCCCTTCGCTTGTTTATTCTGCTTTTCCCCCCATCGGCTGATGGTTCGGCCTGCAGGTCTGTCCCGGGGGGTCGCCTTTATCCGGTTCGACAAGCGGTCCGAAGCCGAAGAGGCCATCTCGAACTTCAACGGTCACAAGCCCCCGGGGTCCTCAGAGCCCATCACAGTGAAGTTTGCCGCCAATCCCAACCAGAACAAGAACGTGGCTTTGCTCTCACAGCTGTACCACTCACCTGCGAGGCGGTTTGGGGGACCCGTCCACCACCAGGCGCAGAGGTTCAGGTAAGCTGGGAAGATCAGAGCCCTCCAAGGTCTCTACTGTGGGTTTCTCTCTCAGTCTCTTTCTCTCTCTCTCTCTCTCTGCCTCTCTTGCATTTTTTTATTTTCATTTTGAATCACTGCTGTCCATCACCAGGCGCAACCCGAGTCTTCCCGTAGACAGGTGAAAGGGAGAGAAGCAATCCACAGGGACATAAATGTAAATTCATCCCAAAACGTTAGGGGTCAGCAACTGCGGGATTAGACTTTAGCCGCTAATGCCCTCTTAATTCCCCCCCCCTTTCTTTTTTTGGGGGAGGTGGAATGATTCCTTATGACTCCTTTCACGCAGTCAACGCTTCCTCTGTGTTAATGTGGGCCTTCCGTGCTCGTGTGAAAAGCCACCTCTCTTTCGTCACCGAATCCTCTCTCCGAAAGGGCCTCACGGTAGGGAATTCAATGTGAAAATTGTATCATCCGGTGCTTTCTGCTATTCCTTTAACCAACTCTTTCCCAATATTTCTTGACAGTTCCCGTGGAACCCATCAGCTTGGTCCCAATTGCAGCTCCAACTTCTTCCATTAGATATTTTTTTTCTTTAAAAAAAATACAACCTTCTGTATAATTTTAGAGTCCTGAAATAATTTTATTTCAAAATCAATGGCAGTGGAGTACTTTTGTCCCCCCAAATGAATTATGTATTCCCAAGCTATGTCAGTAATCATTGTGAATGTCCATTTCTTTTCTTATTTTTTTCCTGTTCTACCAGACTTCTCTCTCTGTTTTCTTTTTTTTCTTTTTTCTTCTTTTTAACCTCTTCCTTATTATTTTTCATACTAGAATTGAGTTTAAATAGAGGACTGAAAAAAAAAACCTGGGTCCCTTTTTTCTCTGTTAATAAAGATTCAGAAATCATATGTCTGATTTGCTGTTTCATAACAGTATACCAAAACAGAACTTTAAAAAAAATAAAAATAAATAGAAATTACTGGTCTGGTTTTCATTACAAGGCACTGCCTTCCAGACACCACAGTACCAGGACTGTCAAAACAAGACCCTTCAACTCCTAAATGCCTCTTTTCCCATCGCCTAAAATGGCCAGCTTGATTTTTGTTTTTTAAAAAAAGGCTTTGTGTGGTCGCTTTTAAAACAAACTGTGCAGCTTTTTAAAAAATGTTTTTAAAATTTTTGGCTGATGGGTGGTAGTGCTTCCGAGGGATGACACAGCGATCAAAATTGCCAGGCAGGCAGGAACGGAGGAAGACCAGCCAGGAAAATGTAAGGCAGCCATTTGTTTAGGGAGAATCAAATTGCAGGAACGGCAGACGGGTGAAACATCTCAAGAGAGGCGCCCGAGCGGTTTAGCTCATAAGAGATGCTGCTGTCTTGGGACCCTGAAGTCGACGTTTGCACAAGGTCTGTTTCTGCCTTGCCAAAGCCTTAAGCGTTTGCAGACTGGCCGGAAAGCAAAGGAAAAAGACAGGTGCCCATCTTGCAAAGTTTCCTTTGGCCTGCAAGACAAAAAGTGAGGAAGGAGGGGGACACGTGGGAGCTCAGAGAAAAGGAAAGGAGGTCCTCTGAAACCTCTCTCTGCTATGCTGAGCGGATCACACGTATTAAAACACATATGCAAAAAAAAAAAAAAACAAAAAAAAAACCCACAAAAGCCCTGGATACAGACCAGACGGTTAAATTGGCAAAAATTGACAAATTCTCAATTTCCATCTAAGACGAAGGGGTCCCCCCCCATCGGTGCCCTTTTACTGGGAACCCCCACGTCAGCTGAGACACCGGCCACCTGAGTCGCCTGTCCTATCCACCCTCTAGAAACCCCCCCCAGCCATAAAAGGGCCAGGTTGGCCGGCGAACCAGAAATGGTTAAAGGGAAGGCCTCTTGAATGCCAGGCAGACCCTTGATCCCAGGAGCCTCGTCACCTTCTGGATCTCCAATGGCTGCCTTCGCTCCCTCACCCCCCAGCCTTCCTCTGAGGAGGGACGCCTTGCGTCATGCTCTGTTATGGGGCCTTGGGTCACACTTTGGGGAAACTTAAAACGTATCCAAACCAAATTTTTTCCCAATTATAACCCAACAGCTTGTGCGTTGTTGTTGGGGTGGAAGTCTGCGCGGCCCAGTTAAAACCCGCTAATTATTTTCCACTCCCCGCCCCTCCATGTATATTACCACAAGATCAGACAACTTGATTCCATTCTTTAAAAAGATAAAAAAGCAAATGGTGTGTGGGGGGGGTTGCCTCTAAAAACTACCCTGTGTCTTTCTTAGTGGTCCTGAAGCTCAGTTCTTTTAAACAGAAATCAAGAATTCCCCCCCCCCGTCTTCAAACAATTTAAATACGAATCGGTGGCTGATTCTATTAATGATATTGGTGTGTGTCCGAAAAAAATAATTCATGTCTTTTACCTTCTGTTGTAACGCCGGCTTGAAAGGGGACGTTCCCCACTTCTTGCCTAAAGCTCCTTTGAATCTTTGCATGCTTGTTTTGTTCTGTCCCTGATCAAGACAGTTATATATACACACACATATTATTTTTCCTTTTTTTTTTTTTTTGGAAGTCTCGAGCAGGACTTTCTCCGGAGTTTGTGAGAGGGGGATGAGAACTCATTTGTTTGTACTGGGAGGGCTCTGTTTCCTCCAAATAGCCTCCGTGATGTTTTTAAACCATTTAAAGTCATGTCAATAAAGGTGACAACTCTCTCTCTCTCTCTTTCTCTTGTATGCTTAATGACCATACTATTAATTCTCACTGGGCAGAACCTTTTCCCCTTTGCCTGCCTCCAACATGTACTTTTCTGGACGCTCCTTCCGCTCTCTCTTTGAAGAACTTAAGAAAAAAGGGAGAGGGGATAAAACATACACAGGCGGGTTGATCGATAACATTAATTTTTTTTATTTTTTGGGGGGTGGGCTGCTGGCTGTGGCTGCCCTCGTCCTCTTATCCCACCCACCCCTTTTCCTAACCTGCTCCTTGCAGCCCTCTTAAAATTTCATCAGAAGATCGTGGTGGGGGAGCTTTTCCTTAATTGAAGATTTTTTTTAAAGACCCCAAACAACAAAAGTGATCATTCCTCCAGTCACTTAATAAAAAGGCCTGCCAGTCCCCCCATTACGTTACGCCTTGCTCACCCGAAGGCCAGGATGACTTCCTGCCGAGTCTCCTTCCTCTTAGTTGGCAGCCTTCATGATGTTAGAAGGACTAAATAGGAGATCAGAGGAGAAGATTCAGGAACCCCATCAGCAGCCCTTGATCATTTGTAGCTGTTAAACAAATGGAAAGAAAAAAAGGCCTAATCTATTAATGTGTAGTGATTTAAAAGTTCCTCCTTCAGGAGCCTTGGGTTTCCTGCTCCATGTAGTCCATCCTGGACACCTTCTTACCTCTTTGGGGGGGGGGGTCTCTGGAGAGCCTTAATGTACCTCCCGCACTCTGGCACCCATGCTGCCCCCCCTTTGAAAAATAGCTGTACTGTCCCCATGGGGCCCTGCTCTTAACCCCACGCCTTCCCTGGTTTGGGTTTTTTTTTCTTCACTTATGTGTTTGTCTCCCTCTTCTTTCTCTCTCTTTCTCTCTCTCTTTTTTAAAGTCCTGGCTCATTTTCATACGATGCTTGTTGTAAATCCCTTCTAGTCATGACCTCTCCCGTAAACCCCTTGCATGTGTGTGTATCTGTGTGTGTGGTTCCCCCCTTTAATTGCTACTACTACTATTATTATTTTCACTCTCCTGAAATGCAGCAACAAATGGGTTCTCTGCTGGAATTCTTGTCTTAGAATTCTTGTCACATGTTAAAATAAAATTAAATGCACATTCTTCTATCTGCCTGTACTCAGCCTCTTCCATGTAAGATGATGGTCCTCCCCCCATTAATGTCACCCACTTTTACAGGTTCACTTCTCAGAAGCCCCACAGAGAAGGGTGTAAGGCATTTGGGTCAAAATCTAGGGACAAGGATGCGTTCAGGCAGGGGTCTGGTGGATCCCAACAGCCCCGTTACTGGCTTGGTAGTGTGAAAGAAGTCCCGCAGCCTCAAACGGTGACCGGCGATTCTATCATGGGTGGTCCTTCCTGCATTTTTTATTTATTTATGTATTTATGTGTTTATTTTTTAAAAAAACCCTTGGGTTTGTTTCGCACTACTATGCTGGGTAGGAAACAGAGAGACCGGCCACGACACCCGACTCCCACCGCCGCTTTCTTAGCATTTTTGCCGGCGGAAGGGAGTCGTAGCGCCGAGGCTCTGGTTGGAAGGGCGCCACCCCCACCCCACCCCGCTTTGAGAAGACTCCCTATATCCCCGCTTCGCCCACCCACCAACACCGTCCTGGCCTTCCCAGTCGCCCACCCCCTGGTTGAGTTCTTTCATTTTTTAAAAATTTTTTGCTTAATTAAATGGATGGGGGGGGAGGGTTTTGTGGGGCGGGCGGGCGGTGGAGGGTTTTTTTTGTTTTGTTGTTTTGTTTACATGAACTATTGTGTGCTTTTTCATTTGCTAGGTTCTCTCCCATGGGTGTAGATCACATGAGTGGGCTTACTGGTGTTAATGTCCCAGGGAACTCCTCTTCTGGCTGGTGTATCTTCATCTACAACCTCGGCCAGGATGCCGATGAGGGCATTCTGTGGCAGATGTTTGGTCCCTTTGGGGCGGTGACTAATGTGAAAGTCATCCGCGACTTCAACACCAACAAGTGTAAAGGCTTTGGTTTTGTGACCATGACAAACTATGAAGAAGCGGCCATGGCCATAGCCAGTCTTAACGGCTACCGGCTGGGGGACAAAATCTTGCAGGTCTCCTTCAAAACCAACAAGTCCCACAAATAACTTCATTTCGTGGCTCCTCTGATTTCTGTTTTTTTGTTTGTTTGTTTGTTTTTGTACGGAATAGATAAACGGAGTGACGGGGAGGAAAAAAAGGATGGAGAAAAAAAGATAACTTCCTTTTTTGTTTTGTTAGTGTACAACTCTTCATATATATATATACTTTTTTTGCGCCAACGGTCACGCACCGACACACACAAAAGTTGTTTTGTCTAAACTAAATCAGAAGTGGAGGGGAAAGCATTTTGTTTTGTTTTGAAATAATCTGGGATGCCATTGTGTTCAAATGTTTTCTTGGGGGGGTTGCTTTTTAAAAATTTTTTAACGTTTTAGGTCTGTTCTTTTATGGGGGAAGTCCGATCTTACCACTCCCTTCTAAATTTCCCTTTTAAAAAAAGAGGAAGGTTCTGTATATGATCTGTCTCGAGGCCTGCCCCCCACTCCCCCCAAAAAACCCTCCCAATCTAAATGGAGAGTGCGGTCCCTGCTGTGGGGTCAGGTCATGAAATGATCCAGCAGATTCCCTTTCGGAGTCTCGTCAATTTCCCTGGACCAGCCAGATCTGAGGTTCTTTCCCTGAACCCCCCCCCCCCTCAGCACGGATCATTTACATGCTACAGTTCATGTGCATGGAAAATGTCAGGAGAATCTGGTGAATGGCCCGGTGCCAGCCTTGCCCGAGTCTGTCCGCCAGAGCTGTGGATTGTTAGGCAAAAACCCCTAATGGATGGATCTTTGGGGTCCCCCCTGTCCCATGCCTTGTAAATTTAAAAGCCCCATTCCCAGTAAGAAAGGACCAAAGGAGTTCCCAAGAAACTCCGGGAAGATTTCAGAGTGAAAGAGAAGACGACAGAAACTCTGATGCCAATTCTTTGCCCTTCCTTTTAAGACTTCCCCTCGTTAAACAGCACTTCCCAGCATTATTCCTTTCCCGATAAAATGAACGTTGCAAGATGCAGCATTAAGTCTCCTTCCAAATTCAGCTCTTCACTTGGACAACTGAATTTCTTAGGTTTTTTTATAACATTGTTATGAACATTTGAACATCATAAGTTTTTGCATCTCCTTCTAATAAGTACCAGATAATTTCCCCCATCCCATTTTAATAGGAGTTTTGTTCTGACAAATAGCTTTTACGTGTTGAACACTCGGCAGAAAAAAGTACGTTAAAACTTGCAAGTTAGAGATTTAAGAGAAAACTTTGATTACTTTTTTTTTGGTAGACTAAAGGTTTTAATTAACCCCCAACGTTTTCTTCAGGCTGCCTTGAAACTTTTGAGTTCTGTTTTCTGTTAATTTTCTTTTGCTTTTTTGTGTTTTTGTTTGTTTTTACTTTTGCATTTAAGACCAATTAAATTTCATTTGGTTTTGCTCAAATTTTGTTTTGGTTTGTTATTTTAATTTTTTAAACCCCCTCTTTACTCCAGTGAACCGCATAGCGTCTGAGGTGGAAAGATCACGACGGCTCCTTTCTCTGAGAAGGAGCCGGGTGGGGTGGGGTGGGGTCGAGAGCCGCGGCGATCGGCCGGCCCCGTCCGAGGCTAGGTTTGACAGAATGCACGTCCTTTTGCGGCCACGTTCGACGTAGGAAACATCTCTGACGGGCTGTTCCTTCAGCTGCTAAGAAGGTTCCTAAAACTGGACTTTCGGCCTTGTTAAAAGCGGTAGCTCCAGAATTGTGAGTACACCAAGGGGGGACCCTCTTTTGTGGTCCCTGGAAGAAGTTTCACTTGAACAGAAATCACGCCCATGCCTGCCGCACATCACAGCGGGGAAGCTGTTCTAGGTGAGCCGGCTGGGGGAGGTGACAGGCCCGGTCCTGTAGTGCGGGCAGCTTAAAATCCTAAACCCACCTCCTGCAGACTTGTAAGCTTGTCCCGAAGAAGGAGCCCCAAAGATTTCCTGAGGGTTGAGGCTTATGGGTGGCTTTTCTGGGAAGGTGGGTGGTGGGTGGGAGAAGAGCATCAGCCCCTTCCTGCATTGGAAGAGTCCCTCTCTCACCCAGAATCGTGCTTGGAAAGGAACCCTGCGGTTCTGTTGGCTCCCTTTGAGGTGAGGAAGTAAACACCTCTTCCCCTCTTCAGGACCATGCCTTGCGTCCGTACGATGTGTTTTAGAAGCCTGGACTTGAAGTGTACGTCCTGTCCAAAAAGAACTTATTTTGGGGGGGGCACCTGCCCTTGCACCCCTTGGTCAGACATCTCCTTGGCTTTGCAGCCTCCCTTTGACGGACAGTGTTGCATCTCGGAGGGACCATGGTCTTGAGAAGAAGGATCCTTTTAGGAAGAGGGTGGTCACCACCTACGTAGAGTTGCTTCAGTCCACCATCTCCCCGCGGACGTTCTCGGGTCTGCTTCCTCGTTTTGTGTTTTTAATGCTGCTTTGCGAAGCCCATCCGCTCGCTTAGAGACGTCCCCTCTTTAGTTTATCCACCGCATCTCGAATCTGGAATGGGACTCCCCCCCCCTTACAGGCCTATCTAAAAGGAAGAACATGTTGCATTCATGGCCAAGTTTTGCTTTCTGCTTGTCAAAACTAAGCTGGAGTCCTCAAGCGTCTGTCCTGGAAATAACCAAGCCTTTTTTCCCCTCTATGCCATTTCTTCTAATCAGTCCTTTGGTTTTGCGTCTTGAGCCGGGCTGCTTTTGCTGTGCTTCCTCGTTCCTCCCAGAGGGTGTAAAACCAGAAAAAAAAATTTAAAAAGCCTTCCCCATTGGAACAGACTATTGAGTTGTTCAGAAACGAGACAAGTTGGGGAGCATCCGGAAGACTTAACGATCGAGGGATAAGGTTACTTATTTCGCAGTCCAGGCAAATCCACTTCGTTTCAGTTTGGAGGGAAACTTTTGCTGGGTTGTGCCCCTCAACTTGTTCTGTGGTTCCTTAATTTAGCATGAAGTCCAGGGTTTTAGACCCATGCTTTTTCCTCCTTTCTTGAATTCCCCTTGAATTGCTATGGTGCCTTTTAAAAAAATCCTCAAGAAGAGCATCTTTTAAAGATGTTTTCCGTCTTTGTGTTTTCTTCCTTTGAAATTGCTTTTGGCAACATGACGGTTTTTGCATTGTAAGTTTTATAGTTTCTGTGCGTCTTGGTCAGTCCTCGCATCTCTTCCTCTCTCTTGCCCTGCTGGCTTTCCGTGGCCGATTCGCCACGTGTGCTCTTCTGGTCTCCAGCCTGCCTCCCGTCAGCCCTGACGAAAGGAAGGAAGGAGACGCAGTTTATCGCAGCATCCATTTCTAGAAGCTTTTGTGGACCTCATTTCCTCAAGTCTCCCTGCTGCTCTTAGCCACGTGCTTTGCCTTCAGAGTCAGAGCCATCTGGAGAGGGCCTTCTCCCACACAGCTCTTGCCCAAGCCAGCTTCCCAGGGCATCATTTCAGCTGGACCCTGTCTGAACTTCCAGGAGGACTCTGTGACAAGACTCTGCTCACAAACCTGGAAAATACTGAGATGAGACCTCTGACAAATGTACGTTTGGGGCCCGGGGTACAACGGAAAACCCTTTGGGAGCCAGACGTCATCTTTAACAAGAGGCCAAAGTCTAAGGCCATCACAGCAGAGGGATGTTCTTAACATATGGCCAGGCTCCAGTTCCTGCTGATCTTATGATATTTAGATTAGGTTGCATTTTTAAAAAACAAGGGCTCAGTGATGGAGGTCGATTAAATTCCCAGATGTTCAGAGCGGAGAGAGGCGGTACGAGCGTTAGCGAGCAGTATACTGACTGGTTAGGGTCTTGGTGCCCCTTTCTCTCCCTGCCTTCTTTCTTCTGAGGACGGGGGGGGGGGCACCTACTTTTCAGACGATGGCTTCTTTACGTCTCCACCTCCAGAATTGGCAGAATGAGAAGACCGAATGGGATACTCTGTGGAAAGCCAGAATGCTCCCGAGAGGCTCCGTTGGGTGTGAAGAGAGAAATCCTCAATTCTCAAGTGGTGTCCTTCCTCTAAAGCTCTTCAGCCTTTGAGGAGGCCTCTGCTTCCCCTTCTTTCCAGGAACAGCTGCTGGTTGTGGTTATCATCCCCTCCTCGTTAAATTGGAGAAGCATTCTTTACAGAGCCCCGCTGAAAATCGGGACCATTTTAGGCTGGCCTACTTCCCAAGATGCCCGTGGTCCTCGCTGTGTTGCCTTTCCGGGGTGTGCGAAGCCTCACCAAGCATCCTGGGATGAAGCGGAAGCAGGAAGATCAACTTAGAGCCATGACATGGAGCGCCTTTTCGCGAGCTGACGCAGCCTCTTTGACCCCCAGCAGAGAAGATCATCCCACAGGCCAAATGCCTCTTCACTTTTGCCGTCCTGGTTTGAGCTTGAAGCCTGGCGAATCTGTACACCCTTCTCCTTAAAAGCATGCACAGCTTCGAGCGAGCTCATGGTTTGAAACCAGAATTCGGTTTGTAGGATATTTCAAACTTTTGGCAAGGAGAGTTCCTTGTTAAACTGGAAAATGCTAGCCTGTTCAGGCCGTAAATATTCTTCTTTCTCTTATATCAGCCGCGAACAGTTTCCAATCTCAGGCATTGATGCCTCTGAGAAGCCTCGGCTCCTGCTGTGTTCTAGGTCGGGCCAGGTTTTGTACAGGTTTTTAATCATCTCCCACCATCTCCTTGGTGAGGCGAGTTGCCAGAATCCTGACTCAGAAAAAAAGAAATATGAAACTGTGGGCCTTTGATGTTTTGTATATTCCTATTTAATGAAGCACGCAAGAGAACGGTTAGCAGCCATCTATGACTTCCCCACAAAACGGGCGCATGCATGTTCTACAGATCAGATGTGTGTCTGGCTCCTCCTGCCGCCTCTTACGAAATTCTGATTTCGGGGAATCTAACGCGATTCTTGTTCCCTCCCATTTTATTTTTATTATTATTTTTCTTAAAGATACTTGGTGTAATGTAGTGTTTATGAAATTAAAATCAGCAACCAGTGCTGTTCGTTCTAAGATCAGGTATGTGATAGTTTTATCTGCCGATTCTTATCTGTACACATTTAGCCTCGGGTGAGTGGGACCGTATCCTCCCCCCCCCCAGTGCAGGGCAGAGGGATAGCCAAACCCACACTATCTGCGGCACCTGAGCCACCAACAGCCCTGCCTTATTCCCGTGTTGTTTAATTTTTTTGTGTTGGTTTTTTTTAAACTATTTTCATTTTGGCCTTTTTTGTTTCTTGTTATTGTTTCCGCTTTTTGTCTGAAGCTAATGAGCCCCCCAAAAAACGGACACCCCCCAACAAATCCTATATACTAAGTGTAACTGCCATCAGGATGTGTGTGGTTTTTTTTAAGCTGTTGCCAATTTGTGTTTCAGAAGACAAAGTTTAAAAAAACAAAAGAAAAACTGCCTTACGAGGCCATTTGATTCCCTTGTGTGCGCATTAAAAAAAATAGAACTCACAACACAAGCAGTTCCCTCGCCCTACACGAGATTGTTCCAGAAGAAACGGAGGGGAGATGCTTGAACCGTTTCTGTCCAGACGCACCTTTTATTCTCTTGTCCCGTAACCCTGGGGCAACTCTGGAAGAAGTGCTGATCCGAGTTTTGTAGATACGGCCGGCACGTCTCTGGCCTCACTCAACTCCTCTCTTAACTGGTGTAACTCTTTTTTCCCTCCCTGCCCTTCCCCCTTTTTGTATTTTTTTTTAAATATTGCCATCTGTCTGCGTAACAGAAGGCTTTGGTCGGTTTTTCCACCCACCCCCTTATTGTACAGTATATATGCTTAAATACCTTTTTTGTATATTTAGCGTGCTTTTAAGTTATTGGTTTTATTTTATATCAGAATAATTTATTTTTCAGGTACCACTTTTTTCATTTTAACTTTGTTTTTAACATGGGTTTACTTTAAATAAAGTATGACGCTGCTATCCAGAAGTCTGAACTGCAGTTGAATTTCCCCTTTGTCTCTTTTAAACGCCTGGTGTTTTTTTTTCCCCAGAGGTACCACAGCTTAATGGCCTCTTTTCCTCCTGCCCCCGGGGTTGATGGTGACATGGGGGCGGGCGGCGGGGTCTTCTGCCACTGCGTTATTTGGGGGTGCCAGAAAGGAGAATGGAATTGAAAGAGGTGGGAGAGGTGGACGTCCCACGGGGGAGAGGTGGACATCCCCGTTGGAGTTGCAGAAATTTCAGAGAATTGTAAAAATGGTGGGTTTGGCTTTTAAAAGAAATATCCCTTGAGAGAACATACACGATTCTCAGTTCTGATTTTGTCTGCCCCACGGGAGGGAAGACCAGAACCTGCTCTTCACCAGGGAAATCTTCCTTGAGAGTGAGAAGATTCTGCCCCTTTTCCATGAAGAGTAACCACTACATACAGGGTCCCTGTTGTAGCTTAGCATTATATTTGAAGGGTGTTCCTCTTGCATTTCCTTTAGCGCTCATAGAATAATGGAGTCGGAAAGGGTCTCTTGAGGCCATCCAGTCCACCCCCCTGCTCAAGGCGAGAAACCCAAATCTAAGCAGATCGGACAGGTGGCGATCTCATTTTCTTCTAGGAAGGAAAAAGGAGAAGGGCGCTACCAATCAGCCTTGAATTAAGCTAGATGGGGGGAACCCCTTGGTTGACAATAAGGGACTACAATGCCAAATCCCAAATCCCAGGCCGTTCTACACAACTCATGCACATGTTTTTTGTAACATAGAATAGGTTGTTGTCTGTTAAGACACGGGAGACACAACTGCTTCCAGGCGGGCACCAAAACCAGTAGCTTATGGATCGGAAACTTGTTTTAACCAGTGTCTCTGGCTTCTGCGACTTTTGAAGATGATTCCTCCATCACGCTCGCCCCCTTTCCAGGAATCTTCCCCTTCCAGGTTTCTCCATAGCCCTGTTCCGGTGGCCATCCTGCTGGCGCCCAGGAGGCCATGACAAACCACCACCACTGCCCCCCCCGGTGCAGAAAAAAAGTGCCCAATCCCCAGAAACACCCACCCCTTCCAAATCCAGACAGCGTAGAAACACGTGTAGGGCAAATGGGCCCCCTTGACAGAGTGATCCCTCTCCAAGGTCTGTTCGGGAAACCAGAAAGCACCGCACTGCTCTCGTTCATGATGGGATGTGTTCACATCCTGATTTCCCGGTCCCGGCATGAGACAGGCCCACCGAGGCCTTTTGAACACCACAAACCAAACCTCTTTCCTGGGATGATCATGACCCAAACCAGGAAAGATCTTTGCATGAGAAGACGCGATGGCCTTCCATTTTTGTGTGAAGCTCCTTAAAAATAAAATAGAATAATAAAAGTGTGTCTCTGCTGACGTGGAAGAAGGAAAACGAGAATATGTCCCACGGACACCCAGCGCCTTGCCTTTTAGGCTTTTTCTGCTGAATCTTCGTAGAAAAAACTGGATATCTGGAGCAAAAGGTGCCAGCAAGGAGACCAGGATGGGGGGGGAGGGCAGGCCCCCTGCAGCCGGCTCAGCCAGGTAGGTGGGAATTGGGGAGCAGTACCTCAACCCTGCGATGCAAGCAGGGATCCAACGGGTGGTGCTCAAGGCCTCCCCCCGGCTAAGGAAAACTCGAAAGGAGGCCACAGAACTCACCTTCGGAAGCAGGGCCCTCGACGGGACTTGAAACTGTGACCATGCAGATGGTGGGTGTTTCTTTTGTCCTCTCCCCCTCCCCATCTTCCTGCCCACAGCAGTCAATCAGGACATACCCCAAAACGTGGGCTGGGGGGGCATGGTGCTTCTCTCCTGTTTGGGCTCTGGGCCACCCAAGCTGTGGAAAAGGAAACAAAAGCAAGGACATTTTTTGAAATTGAGATGATGATCATAGGGCTTCAAGTCCATTCTGAGTTAGGGTGACCCTTTTTCAGGGTTTCCCTGATAGAGAATCCTCGGAGGAAGGCAGTTCACCCTTCCCTTCTTTTTGTGGGGGGGTGTGAATCCCTGGGACAGAGTGCCGCTTGCTCCCAAGGCTACCCAGACTTCCTCTAAGGATGCGAGAGGCCTTTTTACAATAGTTTTTTTTAAATCACGGGGTGCAAATGGGGTTGTGTGACCCTCTAAAGTCCAAGGCAGGGCCATGCCTACCTCTGGAAGTTGGGTGGCTTTGGTTTGAACTGTGGACAAAAAGCCCCAGAACTCTTGGCAGTCTATTCTGATTTTAAGGGCAACCTCGTCCGGCGTTCCTTAAGTAGAGAATTACAAGTGGTTTCCCCTTCCCTTCTTCTGGCCGTGGGGAGGGGGGAATGCCCTGGGATGGTGTGCCGTTTGCCCCCAAGGCCACTCAGGCCGGTTCTTCTCCCAGGAGGCATGAAAAAAATCTCACAAAACCAGGCTGCCCACAGAAAAGGGCCCTCCTCCTTACAATGCCCCCCCCTTTTCCCTTTGGTTGGTAAAATTAAGCAAAGGGACATTTTTGTTAATAAAACACACAATGTGCTTGAGCAATTCCCCCCGCAAGATGCAGGGTGGCTTTCTTGTCCTGGCCCTCCCTTTCTATATATTCCTGTTCTGCATCTTGGGGATCCAGCTGATTTTTACCACCAGGGATCCCCGCCCCCAGTCATTTGAAATGGGGATATGGTTTATATGATTTTGTTTTATCCAGCCAAGAAGGCCCTTTGTCTGTTCAATGCAGGGCACCTGACAAGGTAGAGGACAAGGCCACCAGGAGTAATTCTGCCGGAATCTGGTGATGCACAGCAAAATCAGAAATACACACCTAGTGTTCTTTTAGGACAAAACCAAACCAAACCTTTAAAGTCTTAGTGATTCCTTTTGCTTCCCTGGGTAGGTGGCTGTCAAAAGAGGGTGGACTTTTAGCTCCCAGAGAGAAAGGGCTGAATCCCTGCCAGCTGGCAGAGGGTGCTGGAGAATCACAATACCCATTATCCCTTCCTGCCTTCCATTATTAGCTCCCTCAATCCCTTCCTTCTATCCATCATCACTTCTTTCCTTCTTTCCTTCCTTCCTAACCATCACCAGCTCTTCCTTCCTTCCTTCCTGTCTGTCTGTCTGTTACGCTAAACCATCTATGTCCCAGCCAGCCAGGGCGATGGAGCTGCTCAGGGTGACAGGACCTCGCAGGGACGTGGTGCAGACAAAAAAATTTGGGGTGGGGCGGCTGATCCTCTTGCCCTGACTCGTCAAGAATCCTGAGACACGACCGAAACATGTAATAAAATAAAACACAAATGTCTCTCAGTCCCCAAGGCCAAGTAGAAGGGCCTTCACAGGAGAAAAGAGACCTCTTTAATCAGGCCCAGAAATGGATCGGGAGCCACTGAAGGGGGTAGAAGTGCTGGCACCGCTAATTATCTTTGCTAATTGTCTTTCTGTTGCTTTTTGTTAGTTTTTAAAAGGGGGGGGGGAATAAACCAACCATGCTAAGAGGAGCTTTGAAAAATCCCCACCAACAAGGTTTTCAAATGCCCTTCAGAAATCATTGCAAAAATGGAACTTTGGAAATTCCGCCCGAGGACTCGGCGAGGAAAACAACTTATCGGAAAGGAACTCAAGTTACTTTCCACCTGCTCCTCCGTCCCAGTTCTGGGTCTTCCTTGCCGGGGTGTATGTGTCTGGAACGCCCTCCATGGCCACCCTCTCGCCATCTTATCCAGCCGCCGGGCGGGACCCCCAGAAGGCCAGAGCCATGGAAATAAAGGATCCCTGTCTTTTTCGGGGTGGTGGTGGTGGCGGTGGCGGAGAAACAGATTGAGCAGATTCCTGAGCCGTGGCTCACCTGTCTAGCCAAACCACGGCTGGCCCGGGAAGGACAAATGCCATCTGTTTCGTGGGACGCCCAACGGAGGCCTCGGGCATCTTGGCCTTGTTTACCTCGGCCGCTCTGTCCAGTCTCCTGCTCCGGACAGTGGGCCTTTTCACCTCGTCGGGGTTTATTTTATTTTTGGTGGCATGTCCCCGCTCTGATGAGGCCAGCTCAGACAGGGAGACGTCCGCTGGCTCTCCCCCCCCCCGGTGGAATTCCCCAAATAAGAATCATCATCATCGCTGAAGCCACCCACCTGTCCGTCCGAGCTCAGAAAAGCTTCCACCTGCTGACGGTCTTCCCCGAACCCTCCGGCGTTCTTGCTCTGTGCCCGTTGGATTCATGGCCGTCCGATGAATCCGGGGCTCGGATCTTGCAGGAAAACAAGGCTGGGGCTTCTTGGATGGGGTCTCTCCATCTCATGGCTGGTGTTCCTCTCCTCTTGCTTTCCTCTTTTTTTCTCAGCAAACGGTGTCTCAAGCGTGGCAACAGCATAACCTTAAAAATGAAATTATTGGGGAAAAATTGTGAGAAGATTCGTGGAGGAACACACCTCCAAGGCGACGTGGCACCTTTAAAGGCCACGCTGATTTGCGATGGGGGAACTCTGTGCCACTCACCCGTTACTCAGGGAAGCAGCAGGCCAAACAACACCCATACCTTTCCATCTGCTGTTCCCCAGGAACTAATTCCAAGGCAGAAATGATACTTGGGACGCTGATGGTGGACCTCAGCCCCTTCCCCCACCCCCTGAGTAGGTCACCTTAACCACTGTGAATGTACCTGACCTGTTTTTTCTGAGTGGCCCATTGCCAAACCTTGTGGCAGGGAGTTCCACAGTGTAGTTGTGCCAAAGAAGTACTTTCTCTTATCTCCTGTTATTTGGCTTCGGGGCCTGACCGCTGTGGGTTTTAGTACAATACCAGAGGGTGGAAAAATCCCTATTTATCATGCGTAATCGAACACAGACACACAAAGAGAGTGATCGTTTTCACATCTCTCTGCTCCTTTGAGGCTCACTCACCCCTGTAGCGTAAAAGGGGTTTCTTCTGGACTGGACCTCATGCCACAAAAGCTCCCTTCCTGCCCTTTCCAGGGTCCCGTTAAAGGCTAACAAAGCAGCGTCCAGAGTCATCTCCTGTCCCAGTCTGAGAGGCACTAAGGAGGGATGTGCGTTTGTGTGTTTGTGTGTGTTGGTCCTGAGAAAGCAAAGGCCAACAAGCTTCTGGCTTTTTCCTTGTGGGATCCCGACCCGCGTGAGCAGCCAAATATTGACCAGGGCCTTTATTTAGCAACTGCCAGCCAGCCCACTTCCTCCTGCAAATATTTTCCCAACCGAGAGAGGCGGCAGAGCAGAGGAAGGAATTTTACTGGGGCCTTTTTCGAAAGGACATGACCCCCTTTGGAAGGCCTGACCCAGGATCGGGAGCATGTTTTCCTCCACCCCACGCTGGGGATTCACTGTCCCCTTTGGTTTGGTCACACTTTGGGGTTCAGTTGCAGGGCTGCCTTGTGTCCTGCAAATATTTTCCCAACCGAGAGAGGCGGCAGAGCAGAGGAAGGAATTTTACTGGGGCCTTTTTCGAAAGGACATGACCCCCTTTGGAAGGCCTGACCCAGGATCGGGAGCATGTTTTCCTCCACCCCACGCTGGGGATTCACTGTCCCCTTTGGTTTGGTCACACTTTGGGGTTCAGTTGCAGGGCTGCCTTGTGTCAGGATCAGGGACCACAGCCTTGCGAAGTAGAACGGGGGTGGGGTGGGGTGGGATGGAGGGGGATGGGAGGAGTGTGTCCCGTGGGAGGCAGGAGAGGAAGAAAAGAAGGAAGGAAAGAGGTGATGGATGGATGGATGGACTGATGGACTGACAGAAGGAAGGAAGGAAGGAAGGAAGGAAGGAAGGAAGGAAGGAAGGAGCTGATGATGGATAAGAGGAAGGAAGGAAGGAAGGAGCTGATGATGGATAGGAGGAAGGAAGGAAACTGCTGTTGATGGATAAGAGGAAGGAAGGAGCTGATAATGGATAAGAGGGAGGGAGGAAGGGAGGGAGGGAAAAACTGAGAAGGAAGAAGAAAGAGAAAGCAAGCAAGGAAGGAAGGAGTAAGTTTTAGGCTTGTAGAAGGAAACCAAAGCAGAAGCTCAAGCCAGAAAGATCAACAAACACCCAGAAAGAAAGAGAGAAAGGAAAAGAGGTGGAGAGAAACCAAAGCAGACTGAGGGATGGATCTCTCCTTCCTGCCGCTTCACCTTTTGGACTTCAGCCTGCTGGCCAAGGGGAGGGCAGAGTCTCTGGGATGGGCCCTGAGGCGTCGGTGTCTCCTCCTCCTCCTCCCCCCCCCGTCTTTTCTCTTCGGGCCCCCCAGCCTCGGGCTTCCATTCGCCTCCGGCTCGCCCGCCAGCCAGCATGTTGGGGACGGCAAGGGGCTGCCAGGCGCTGCTGACCTCGGTGCTGAAACCGGAGAGGCCGATTTCCAGGATCAGATCCACAGGGACACAAGCAGTTAGAGAGAGATGCTGTTGGTGCTTTTCGCCCTTTAAACTGGAAAGGAGAAAGTTGGTCCCCCGGGCGGCGTCAGCGCTCAGCCCGCCTGGAGGCAGGCGATCCGCTGGCAGGACGGAGGGCGCCTCTTCAGCTTGTTCAACACGGCCG